GGAGGAGGAGGAGGAGGAGGAGGCCTGTGGCACTCGTATGCCCTCGAGCGTCCCACTCTGTGTGCTCCTCCGAGGACGGCGCAGACCCGGGCGCCCCCGCGGCGGCCGTGTACCAGGAGCAGCCACGCGCTGCCTCGGCGGGGCCTCCGCTCGGCTCCGTCCCTCGACTCTCCGCCCGGCATGTTTTCGGGGGCCTGCGCTCGACTCTGTCCCTCGACTCCTCCTCCTCCTCCTCCTCCTCCCTCCTCTCTCCTCCCCCTCCTCCCCCTCCCCCTCCTCCTCCTCCTCCTCCTCCTCCTCCTCCTCCTCCTCCTCCTCCTCCTAACCGGACTGCGCGCCGGCTTTCGCACACGATGGACCTCCGAAGAGCGCCAAGGGAAGCCCAAGAGAGGCCAAGCGGGCCCCGTCTCGCAGAGGAGGAAAAGGTACCCATACCGCTGCCCTTCCCTCGCTTTCCCCTTCCTTGGCCTCTTCGGAGGCCTTCGTTGCCGCCGCTGGATTCGCCTCGAAGTTCTGGTCAGAACGCGCCCCGGAAGAGGTCTGGGGCGCAGCGATGTCGGTGCCTTTTGGTTTCCCCGGTCTCTGCAACCCCGCGTGGTGTCGGGAGAGTGAGCGCCAGGATCACATTTCGGACCTTTCCTCCTCCTCTAGGGTTAAGTCGGGCCCGTCCCTCTAAAGGGGGAATATCAAAAATAGTCAAACATAGTCTGGGATTTTTTTGTGAGTGTTTTTTTTGTGCTCATTCATTCATATATATACGTATATAAAAATATAGATATAGTATTTATGTATGTACATATCTATATACATATATATATATAGATTTCGCTCAGCATCCCCCTGTAGCGGGACACGCCCGACTTAACTCTAGGGCCAGACTGGCTCCCAGCTCCGGTGGGCGGACAAAAAGTGTCCACACTTGTCGCGCCAAGACAACTCGTCGTCAAATCACGTCGAACGAATATGTATACCCCCCTTTCTCCCAAGTCAAAGTTGGCGGGGTTAAGCGGCAGGCCGCGCGCCAGGGACAAAATGTGGACACTTCAACTTTGGGTTTTGAGGGGGAGGGGTGCGAGGCAAGTGCATCATGCTGTTGCGGTTGCTTCTCGTCGCAGTGTCTTCCCGCCCTGGGTGTGGACACTTTTTTTCCGGGCACCGTCTGGGTTAGATGTGTTTGGTGGTTTCATGGCGCTATCGTGCTTACATGCGTGCGTGCATTTAAGTGTGTGTGTGTGTGTGTGTGTGTGTGTGTGTGTGTGTTGGTGCGTGCTTATGCGTCCAGCACGACACGCAATTAGATGACGATGTGCGCGTATACGGAACCACGGGACACCCGCAGGACCACCGCGGGACAACCCATGGGGCAACCCGCGGGACCACCACGGGACAACCCACGGGGCAGCCCTTGGGACAACCGTGGGACTACCCACGGGACAGCCACGGGACAAACTACATGGCCTCATTGAAATCGATGAAGCGGCGCTGCGGCGCGTTGCGGACCGCGAAGGGCGCCGACTTTGAGGAGTGAGGCCTGGCGCGCTTCCCCCCCCGCCGTCGCCTCCGACGGCGCGGAACTGGTATAACTGGGTAGAACTGGTCATAGAACTGGTCATAGAACTGGCCCGTTGAAAATAGGGTCCGGCCTAGAACTGGTCGCACTTAGAAGAAGAAGTATTGATATTCTTAAATTTTCTTTAATTTGACCGACCAGTTCTAGGCCGGACCTTATTCTTAATGGACCAGTTCTATGACCAGTTCTATGACCAGTTCTATCAGTCCTATCCAGTTCTATCCAGCGGTGCCAGCCTCCGCCCGCTCCACGTCGGGGCGTGGGGGCGCGGGGCCGCCTGTGCGCGCCCAGGAGGCATCAGACCCTGGAGGATTTCTTATCCGATGAGGGCGGTGGCGATGCCCGTGGCCGATCCACAGTTGGAGGTCCACTGGCTTCGAGACCTTGGATTCCTTATCCGACGAGATTCCTTATCCAATGCCCTCGCCGTATTGTAGCACCAATCAAGAGCATAAGAACCACGGTGGGCGGACAAAAAGTGTCCACACTTGTCGCGCCAAGACAACTCGTCGTCAAATCACGTCGAACGAATATGTATACCCCCCTTTCTCCCAAGTCAAAGTTGGCGGGGTTAGGCGGCAGGCCGCGCGCCAGGGACAAAATGTGGACACTTCAACTTTGGGTTTTGGGGGGGAGGGGTGCGAGGCAAGTGCATCATGCTGTTGCGGTTGCTATCACGTCGCAGGTGTCTTCCCGCCCTGGGTGTGGACATTTTTTGTCCGGGCACCGTCGCCCAGCGCCTTCCTGGTCACGCGGAGTTCCGCCGAGAAGGTGTCAGACCTCAAATGGCGGCGCCCAGAGGGCAGGCCCCCCAAAATCTTGCAACCTCCGCCTCCCTAAGACGTCCGGCGCCTCGACAGAAGCGGAGGCGGCCGCCCCGTCGTCATTTTTGGCCTTCGGATGCCAGTTGCGGGCTTCGGGGCCGGCAACGAACTGCTCGGGGACGAAACAGCGGCCGTGGGGAAAGGGTCGAGAGGTCCAGGGGCTCACGCATAGACAACATCGAAGCGCCGAGTGCGTGGGCCTCTTCGATCCTCTGCCCGCCTGTCCCCCCCTCCTCCCCTCCCCAGTCCAGGCCTCTAAAATTCGGGTCCGATATCGACTACATAGCTGATTCGATTTGTACCAAACATGTTTTCTTCCGGTCAAATCCACGAAGAAGACGAATCATAAGTGTAGATCTACGAACGTTATATTCTACGTTTTTATTGTTATTTTTGTTGTTGTTGATGGTGCTGTTGTTGTTGTTGTTGTTGTTGTTGTTGTTGATGATGATGATGATGATGATGTTGTTGTTGTTGTTGTTTTTGTTTTTGTTGTTGTCGTTTGATGGTTGTTGTTGGTGTTGTTGTTGGTGTTGTTGTTGGTGGTGGTGGTTGTTGTTGTGGTTGTAGTTGTGGTTGTTGTTGTTGTTGTTGTTGTTGTTGTTGCTTGGGTTGTTGTTGTTGTTGTTGTTGTTGCCGGGGTTGCGGTTCTGGTTCTGGGGTTCTGGTTTTGGTTGTGGTTTTGGTTGTGGTTGTGGTTGTGGTCGTGGTCGTGGTTTCGGTTGTGGTTGTGGTTGTGGTTGTGGTTGTGGTTGCTGTTTGTTGTTGTTGTTGTTGTTGTTGTTGTTGTTGTTGTTCAATTTTCATTCCTGAAGAATAATTATTGTTGATCCCCCCCGCCGGTGCATACTGTTTTTTCTCAATCAAAGTGTGCCCCTCGACGCTCGCACCTTGTTTTTTGAAAGAGAAAGTCTTCCTGCTCAAACTGGCCCCTTGGCCCCCGGGTTACAACAACAACGGCTCCCGCCTGAGACTTCCTTACGATTCAGCCAGGACCCCCGCTCCCGCCCGAGACTTCCTCGCATTTTATTCAGGAATCGCGGTCTCGCTTGGGACTTCCTTACAATTATTAAAGAATCGCTCTCCCGGCGCTCTGGAGTCGCGCTCTCGCTGGAGACTTGCTTGCAACTTACTGAAGAACGGCCTTGCGTTGGAACTTCCTGCAATTTGCCCAAGCGCCGCGCTCCCGACACCCAGGCACCCAGGAGTCGCGCCCGTTGTGGCCCCATGTGCATGCCCTTCGTGGCCCCGCTGTCGCCATTTGTGTCCCCCTCACTGTCCTACGTGGCCCAGTTGCTACCCTCAGTGGCCCCATAGTTGCCTTCTGTGGCCCCGCATTATCTGCACTTCGTGGCCCCCGCTCGTTCGCGCTCTTCGTGGCCCCATACGCATTCCCTTCGTGTCCCCGCTGTCGCCCTTCGTGGCCTACTTCGTGCCCTTCGTGGCCCTGCTGTCGTTCTCTCTCGCTCTCGCTTTCGCTCGTCGTCGCCGTCGTCGTCGTCGTCGCCGTCGCCTTCGACGTCGTCGTCGTCGTCGTCGTCGTCGTCGTCGTCGGTCGGTCCCCTGTCCGTCCCTCTTGGGGTCGGGTCGACGGTCCGCGGCCGCCCCGCCGATCAGCGCTGCCGCTGGCCAGGCCGACGGTCCGCGGCCGCCCCGCCGCTTGCCGGGGCCCGGCCTGCAGGGAAGAAAGGTATACCCCCCAAAAGGGGTTCGATCGAAGACGAAGAGGGCGGGTATCGAGGGTTTGGGAAATACGCGTTATTGGACACTCGAGCATATAAGGGCGAACAGTCTTATAAATACTGTTGTTGTTGTTGTTGTTGTTGTTGTTGTTGTTGTTGTTGTTGTTGTTGTTGTTGTTGTTGTTGTTGAGAAAGACGGGTTTCAGACGCCCCTCGGGTGAGGGGGGGGGCGCATCGCATCGCATCGGGGGGGGGGGCTGCACCTACGTGATTCCCATGGGACCCCTGGCATTCTTGGATTCCTGGGGATCCGCCTAGATTCCTGGAGAATCCTGGGCATTCCAAGGGATTCCTACGGATGTGTGCAGAATGTTTTGGATTTCTAGGTGTTGTTGAGGATCCCCCAGGATTCCTTTAGGAGTCCAGAGGATTTTTGAAGGAGGCCTCGGTGAACCTGTGGATTCCCGTGGATTCCATCGCGTTCCTGTGAATTCCCAGTGAATTCGGATTCCGATGGATTCCCTGGGATTCCAGAAGACTCTTTCGAATTCCTCTGGGTTTCAATGGATCCCGACGGAATGATGATGATGTTGATGATGATGATGATGATAATGATGATGATGATGATAATGATGCTGATGATGATGATGGCCTTGATGATGATGATGATGATGGCCTTGATGATGCATGCGGCGATGATGCATGTGTTAATGATGAGATGGTGGTGATGTTGTTGATGATGCTGATGCTGATGCTGATGCCGTTGATGATGATACTGATGATGGTGATGGTGATGATGCTGATTGCTGGTAATCATGATGATGGTGGGTGCTGATGGTGATTCTGATGATATTGATGATGACCCCGACGACGACGACGACAGCGATGATGGTGATACTGATGCTGCTGATGTTGGTGTTGATGATGATACCGATGGTGATGGTGATGATGGTTATGAGGTTGTTGATGCGGATGATGGTGCTGATGATGCTGACGATAATGATGCTGATGATGACGATGCTTCTGCTGCTGATGATGCTGACGGTCATGAACGTGAAGCTGATGCTGATGTTCATGCTGATGATGAGGGTAATGGGGACGAGGAGGACATGGGGAGGCGCGAGTGCTTGCATGAGACGCCGGATGCGCTCGAGGAAGGCAAGGGGTAGGACAAGGAGGGGGAGGAATATGGGCATGAAAAGCAGGAGGAGCAGGCCGTGGAGGAAGGGGCAAGGACGCCGAGGAGGACGAGGAGGCCAATTGTGGTAACACCTCCTCCTGCATGCGGCAAGTCCCGCCGCCGTGCAAGGATAGCTTCCTGCTTGGCGATGGTTCGACAGAACACGGGAGGCCGTCACGTGTGACACTTCGTGCCTCCAGGGTTGGGGGATCCGTGGAGATGATGAGGTTGCAGATGATGGTGATGATGATGATGATGATGATGATGATGATGATGATGATGATGATGATGATAATGATGATAATGATGATGTTGATGGTGATGTCGATGCTGCTGTTGATGATGGTGATGGTGGTGATGGTGATGATGACGATAAAGATTATGATGACGGTGGCAATGATGATTCTGATGACGATGACGATGATGATGATGTCAATGATGATGATGATGATGATGATGATGATGATGATGGCCTTGATGATTCATGTGATGATTATGCAGTTGATAACGATGAAATGATGACGGTGTTGTTGATGATGCTGATGCTGATGCTGATGCCGTTGATGATGATGTTAATGATTATGGTGATGGTAGTGATGATGCTAACGCGGATGATGATGATGATGCTGACACTGATGATGATGATGATGACGATGATGATGATGATGATGATCATGATGATGATGATGATGATGATGATGATGATGATGATGATGATGCTGATGCGGATGATGATGACGATGAACATGATGATGATAACGATGATGATGGTGATGTTGATGCTGCTACTGTTGATGATGATGTTGGTGATGGCGATGGTGGTGATGATGATGATGACGCTAAAGATTATGATGACGGTGAAAATGATGATTATGATGACGATGACGATGACGATGACGACGACGACGACGACGATGATGATGATGATGATGATGCTGATGATGATGATGCTGATGATGATGATGATGATGATGATGATGATGATGATGATGATGATGATGATGATGATGATGATGATGATGATGATGATGATGATGATGCTCTCTCATATCCCCGCCGCGCCCGCAATGCGCAGTCGGTCTGCAGCTTCTCGGCCCAAGACTTTCGCGTCCGTGGGCCGCGGCTTCCCCCCCGCCCCCCCTCTCTCGGGACGGGCGCGCGCGCGTGGGGGGCGAGGGTTTCTCTACCTTCAAGGACGCTGCCGCGTCCTCCCCTCTGCGGGACATCGGGGTTGGCGGAGAGCGCACTTGCTTCGCCGCCCCGACTCCCTTGGGGGGGCCCGCCGTCTGCCTTGGGCTGGCGGTGGCCTTGAGCAGCGGGCTCTCGCTTTCGTTGCTCAGCACGGGGGTCGTCTTCCTGTTGACGACTGCCGTGGCCTGCTGCTTGTGCGGGTGCGTGCGCTGCACTTGCCGGGCAGGACAGGGGCGCTTCAGGTGCCCCCCCCGCTCGTGGCGGCTGAGCACCCGCGGGGTGTTCAGGACCGTCGCGCGGCGCGAGCTGGTCCGTCGGCCCCCGCCCCCTGGCCGCGCGGCCAGTCTGGACGTGCGTCCAGGGGCCCGTGTGCCCTCACCGCCTTGGCTGCCTTCGCCTCGGCTGTGTGTCGATCCGCTCGCCCTCCCTGCTCGGGGTGCCGTCCCCCGCTGGCGTAAGGTGTGTTTGCCCGCTGCCATTATGTGGCCACTGGTGTGCCTGGCTTCTGTGCCAGTGCCAGATGGCGTCCCGTGGCCTGACCTGCTTCTGGTCGACCACCCGCCCTTCGGAGACTCGTGGCCTTTAGTGCCTACCTGGCCGCCGCCGCAAAACTCTTCCCCTCCCTCTCCCTACTTCTTCCCCTTGGCCCTCGGGGCGGAGGAGCTGGAGAGGACGAGGAGGAAAAGGAGGAACTTACGCGCCGTGTGCTCCAGCACATCGACAAGGCGAGTTCCCTGGCGACAGCGACGGACAGCACTCTCTGGCGGCGAGCCCGGCCCTTCCTCGCGCGTGTACATCCGCTGGCGAGAGCCTTGATAAAGGCGAGTTCCCTGGCGACAGCGGCGGACAGCGCTCTCCGCTGATGGGCCTGGCTCATCCTCGCGCGCGAACTCCTGCTGGCGAGAGCCTTACCGAAGGCAAGGCGGTCAGAGGCGCGAAGACAATTGCGCGGGGGATGGAGGAGTCGGAGCGGGTGGGCCTCACTAGCCTCCACCTCCTCTCCACTTCCTCACCTCCCTTCGCCGCCTCGCAACGGCTCGGACGCGTGTCTCGGCAACGCAGCCGTCATATGGGGACCGCCAGGTCCGCGGATGCCGACTGCCTTCCGCGCGCGGTGCGCTCGGGCGCCAACGGCGCCAGGGCGCCCACGCCCTTGCCCTGCCAAGGCTGTGCGGCGGTTGAGCCGCTGGGGTCCTCGGGTCGGACGATCATGCGTGTCTGCCCGCCGCCCGGCTTAAGCGCGCTGCCGTCTCTCGGGGTCGCGCCGATTGAGCCGCCGCCAGGTCTCGTCGGACAGGCGGCCGACTTGGTGATGCCTGGTTCGGCTAGCCCGCCAGCGCGCCCGAAAGCGGTCTCAGTGATGAATGCACCCCGCGCTGGACTTCCGCGTCGGGGGTCTCAGCTTTCCCGTTCTTGCGGACCGCGCCTCCGACTCCGCATCAGCGTCTTGGCAGCGGCGCACGCGCAACGGTGGCGTCGGGCACTGCTGCCGCTCCACATTCGGCCTCCCTGATCGAGCGTGTGGGTCGGCCTCCTGGCCTCCTGGGTCTGGACGCTGGCGCGCCCCCGCAGCCGTCAGGCGTCAGCAGGCCCGTCGCGTGTTCGCCGCCTCCGCCCATCTCTGGGGCGGATGTGGAGACCGCGGCCGCCGCCTTCGCTGCCACCCGCAGTGTGGAGGCTTGCTCTCAGTCGTTTCTGACGCCTCCCCTGCGTTCGAGCGCTCTGACGGTTCGCGCGCTGCCTCCTCGTGACGACGTGGGGGTGTGGTCGGTTGTTTCGGGTCCACCCCTGCGGACGCCGCCCATGCCTCCCAGGGACCCTCCCGTGCTGTACTGTGGCGTTCCCGGGAGCGGCCCGCCTGCGTGTGATACGCTTCGGCAGCGTGCGTCCCCTGGCGCGGCTCTCCCGGCGCCCGCAGCGGGCGTTGTGCCACTGCACTCTGCCTTCGGTGACGTGGGAAGTGAGGCCGCCGCTCCGGGCGCTTTCGCTCTGGCGCCCGTGCCCTCCGCCGCCCCATGCGTTGCAGACGCGGCTGCCGCCGCCTCCGCGGGTGACCGCCAGAGCTTCCTCGCGGAGTGCCCTCATCAGGAGCATCCCGCTGGAATAGGCGCCCCGCCGCCTCTGTCTGAAGTTACCAGCCTCGGGGGCGGCGTCGGCGCGCCAGCTGTTGAAGATCCTATCTCCGGTTTCGGGGACTGTCAGGTGCCATCCGAGCCCGGGGCTGACCCAATGCCATCAGCAGCGGCCGCCGCAGCTGGCCCGCCTATCGTCTCGCCTCCCCTGACTCGCACCAACTGCGAGGCGCGCGTGAAGGACGAGCAAGTTCAATCTGCGTCTGTCCCAGCGAGGCGCCGACTTCGGCGGGCTCCCAGCGCCGCTTGCCCCGTCAGGCCCGGGGTTCGCCCAGGCTGCCTTTCGCCCGGCAAGTCTCGGCGTCTTCGCGGGCCCCGCTGCCGCCGCGGCGGACGGAGAGGCCGACTGGGAGGCTCAGTTGCGAGGAACAGTAGTGGCGCGGTCGTTGCCACGGGGGCGCGCACCGAGGCTGTCTTGGCGCCGCGGGGCGTTGCTCGTGCCGCCGATGGCCCGGCTCCGCATGTGGGCGCTCCCGCGCCTATCGTCCCCGGGGTCGGCGGCGCCACAGCTCCGTCGGGAACCCCTCGGAAAACTCGCCGCGCCGCCCCCGCCGAGAGGCCCGAAGCAGCCACCGCATCCCCCAAAGGGGCCACCACAGGTGCCGCCCAAGAAGTCCCCGCCGTCACTGAATCGGCAGGACACCAGGGTCGCGGGGCGAGTAGGCATCGGCTTGGTAAGACGCCCGCTGATGCCGCTCGCGGTTTCTGGGCGGAGCAGGCTAATCGCGGTAGGAGCTGGGGGGTCCAGCAGGGTCGCTACGACCTTGCAGGGACCCCCGAGCGCCGTCGCGGGGGTTCCTGCTCCGTCCCCGAAGCTCCCGCTTCCTCGCCAGGCCATATTGGCCCAAGTGGTAAGCCCTCTCGAGTTGACTTGTCCTCAGGGGTCCTTGCCGCGCCTGCTGTGCCAGAGGCCCCTCGAGTTGACTTGTCCTCCGGGGTCGCTGCCACATTTCCCGGCGCAACCCGTGCCGATCCTTTTTCTGGTCCTGCGCCATTCGTGCTGAACCTTGCTTCCTTGCTGCGCCTGTTCCCAGGCGCTCACATCGACATAACCCACTGGGCAGCTGCTTTGCCTCAGGCTGGGATGGGTTCTCGTTGTGCGCTGTCCGCTTTTACCCGCTCATCGTTCTACGCGTCGGAACGGGACGTCTCTCAGGAGTACGCTCCCCGCGATCCGTGGCCGTGCCCGCCTGCCCCTTCCTTGCCGCCGCCCCCTGTCACCTTGACTGGGCGTGCGCGCGAGCGTTGGCGGATTCGGCGCGCCGCTCGCACTCTGTCCCAGCATGCAGTTGTTGCGCTCAACTGGCTCACGTTGGGGCACCCTAGCTTCGCTCCCTCCGAGGCTCGAGTGTGTGCAACGGTCTCCCCTTGCCAGGAGGGGGTGCGCTCTAGGTTAGAGCGCCTTTGTAGGATTGCAGTTCGCCTTGCCCGCGGTGGCAAGAGCGACCTTGGCAGAGCCTTCGCCAAGTTTGACTCCACCGAAGTCTCGCTCCGTGGTCTGGCCACCCACGTCGCAGCTCTTGAGGCTTCCTTCACTTCCTCTTCTCAAGTGCCCGCCCCCATGCGGCAACTCCCCGTCAGCGCTACTCCCCTGGTGGACTCGCTGGCAGCGGCTGCAGGTTGGGATGCGTCGAAGGCCGAGCCCTTTGATTTGAAAATCCGTGCCAGTCGCATCAAGTGGGATTACGCTCCGTCGTTTGACCCAAGTCCTTACCTTGACGACCCCTGGGTGCGCGCCGCTTTCCACGACCCTGAAGTTATGCGCCTACCTCCAGAGGCTTGGCCTGACGGGTTCAACGGAGCGCGCGTCCACATGGAGAGGTCCGAATTCTGGGACCTCCTCAGGAAATGGGACTCTTGTGGGGCGCTCTACCTAACACCCACGGATGGCCTTCGCTGGGACGAGGCCTGTGGTGCGTTCAGAGTGCCGAAGGACGAGCAACACGACCGCTTGATTCTCAACCCGACAGTGGTGAACAGCCGCTGCCGGAGCGTGTCTTCAAGCACGCAGCGCTTAGGGCAAGGGTTTCTCCTCTGCCGGCTGGGCTTCGCCGAGGGCGAATGGCTTGTCGTCTCCTGTGACGACTTACGTGAGTTTTACTGCACGTTCCAGGTGCCCGCTGCTCGGGCCAAGCGCAACGCCCTCCGCGTTCGGCTTCCCAGTCGCCGCTTCACGGAATTCAGGGCGTGGCGGGACGACCTCGCTGGCCTTGACGTCAGTCCCTGCCTGAATGCCCTCGCTATGAGCGACAACGTGGCCGGTGAGATCGCAAATTCCGTCCACGAGGGTGTGTTGCGATCCTTCGGGGCCTTGCAGCCCCACGAGCAGGCCCTTCGCCGCCGACCTTTCCCGCGGGGCCCCTTTCTCGAGATGCTTGACATCGACGACCACGCGGGGTTTCAGAACCTGTCCTGGCGGGGTTCCGCTCCACGCCCCGACGACCCTGGCCGTCGCGACCAGGCCGTCTTTGCGGCGTGCGATGCCGGCTACCCTCGGGTGGGTCTCGTGCAGCACCCTGGCAAGAGAGCCAGGAGTGTGACCCATGCCGTCGTCGTGGGCGCTGAGGTGGAGGGCCGCATTGGCATCGTCTGCGCCCCCTTGGTGCGCGCGGTCGCCCTTTGCAGGCTCACCCTCATTCAGGTCTACCTGGGTCGCACCACGCGTTCCCTGATCAGCTCCCTCGTGGGCTGTTGGGTGCAGGTGTTCCTGTATAGGCGCCCTATGCTGTCGCTCTTTGCGCGCATCTATACATTCATCTCTTCGCTTGATGATGATGGCGAGTACGTGCTGCCCGTCTGCGTGCGGGATGAGCTTCAAGCTTGCGCTTATTTAGCCTTCGTGGCTATGACCGACCTTCGGGCTTCTCCTCACCCTGAAGTGTTCGGCACGGACGCCTCCCTTTGCTGGGGGGGGGGTCGTCCGCAGCGACATCGCTGTCCCGTTGGCCGAGGAGCTCTGGCGCAGGTCAGAGCACGGCGGTTGGCACACGCGGCTGCGCGACGATCGGTTGCTCGCTGTTCTGAACCGCCCCGGGGGAGAGGTAGGTGATGACCTTGGCGCGTGGCATCGCCAGCTTGGTCTCCCTTCTCTCGTGCCCCCTGTTGCGCCGCGCTGGATTACCGAACTGTCCGAAGCGTTGCGTTTTCGACTCGCCTACAAGTGGAACTTCCGCATTCCCAGGCACATCAATACCTTAGAGACGGCTGTGTTCAAAAGCCTCTGCAATTATTGTTGTATCCGTGCCCCTGATAGTAGGATCGCCGTCCTCCTCGACTCCAAAGTCGCCCTCGGAGCGGCTGCCCACGGTAGGGGCAGTTCCCCGGCCCCCGCCGATGTACACCGCGCGGACGACCCGACCTGAGGTCGCGCGGTTAGGCCCCCCTCGCGGGAGGAGCCCGCCTGGCTCCAGGAACTGTCGGAAAGCTCTCACGATCGGTTCGATATCATTGCCGCCGCCGACGCTGCTTCGGCCTCCCCCACGTGCATGTGGGGGCGCATCGTCTCGCTCGCGTTGGCTTGGCCATGGCTGGCCCCCGCCGACGTCGGCGCCGCAGAGCTACCCGCTGGGGCTCCTCGCGGCGCCAGCGACGCAGATGCGCCCGCCGCGGCGTCTGGCCCACGTGTGCCACATGCCGCGCGGGACTACCAGGACGAGTGCGTGCGGAGCGTTGCCGCAGGAGTTCCGGCCGATGATGAGGCCCTTCCTGCGCCTGCCCCGCCCGACGGTCAGAGGCAGCAGGCCTGCGGGAGTAGCGCCGCCGACCCCCGGGGGGCCGATCGCGCCCGCCGCAGCAGCCCCTCCGTCCCTGGGCCGCCGATGCTAGCGACCACCAGGGCCGCCCATGCCCCCCAGGAGGTCAGCGGGGCCGTCGCCCGGGTCGTGGGGCGCCCCGCCCGCGCCCCTCGGCTGCTTGCCGCTCAAGATGTTCTCCAGGTTCGCGCTGGCGCCGATCGTGCGGCCATCGAGCGTCAGTTCAGGCGCCTTGCAGGTCGGCACCCCCCCTGCACTTTGAACGGGGATTCCGCGGCGTGGCGGAGGTTTTGCGACGCCAAGTCGATTCTCTTGAACGTTGCGGGGCGCGATGGGTGCGGCGCCGCGAGCCGCGCGGCGCGGCCGCCGCAGGGCGCAGCCGCTGTGGGAAGTCGGCCTGGGTGCCCATTTTCCCGGCCCGCCTCCAGCGCGAGCCGCCCGTCACACCCCCGTGGCGGGGCACCCGCCGCAGGCGCCGCGAGCCGTGCGGCGTGGCCGCCGCGGGACGCGGCTCAGGCAAGAAGAGGGCCTGGTGGCCCCTCTTCCCGTCCTGCCTCCGGCACGAGCCGCCCGTCGCGACCTCGCAGCTGGGCGCCCGCTTCGGGCGCCGCTGCGCCCGCAGGCGAGCCGCCCCCTCCCCGCTCTCCTCGCGGGGACGTTGGGGCACCCCGCCAGCGCAGGCTTGCTTCGGGGGCCGCCGCCGATGCCGCCCCCGAGGCGGCCTCGGACCCGCATTCGCGTGCGCGGGCTGACCTCGAGGCCCCGTCCTCGTTTACGCGGCGCGACGCGCGTGCAGTGCGCGAGAGGCTCGGGCCCCGCCCTGAGGCGCTCGAGGTTCACCCCTCACGGTCCAGCCACCGCGGGGGCGACCCGGCTCGCCTGAACGGGAACCGCGATGAGCGGCGCCGTACGGCGAGGGACGCCTCGCTGGGCCCTGCGCTCACCCTGGAGGGGCCGCCTGGCCCCCCGACGCGGCCTGGCCGAACGGCTCGTCGGACAGCCAATCGAAGACTCTACGAGGGCCTCGGCGCACCCGCGCCGCGGCGTTCCCACAACCGCCTTAGTGCGGCCAGCTTCGGCCCCGGGGGCCCGTCGGACGACCCCGCTGACCGCCGCGAGGGCGGGCAAGCGTGGGAGGTCCACCACGCGGAGCTCCGCGCGGGGAGGGCTGCCGCGGCCCCGCGGGCCGCTGCCGCCGACGAGGACTCCTGGTTCCCCGGCGTGGAGGACGCTCCGCGGTCGCCAGTCGAGCCGCCTCCCGGCTGGGCCGAGCCGCCTGACAACGTCATCGGTGACCCCGAGCGCTGTGGGGCGAACGCTAGAGCCGCAAGCACGCCCCAGGAAGCTGCGGGGTAGTGGGCCGCCGCGCGTGCCGCCCGCAACGCTCTCGGAACGCAGGCGGTGAGCGCTGCTCCCGCTCCCGCCCCGATGCCGAGCCAGGCGCCGTCTTTCGCGGTGGCGCGCCTGCGCCCGGCGTGCAATCCCAAGCCGGAAGGGGTGCGAGGCGCTTCCGCGCCGCCGCGCGCTTTCGCTTCGACCAGAGCGGGCCCGAAGGCGTGTCCGCGCCCGCCTGCGCCGCGGCCTCCGGCCCCCCCGGGCCCGCCTGCCGCAAAGACGCACTCGGTGCCCCGGCCGCCGCTGCCTCCCCCGCCGCCGCCTCCTGTGGCGCGGGGGCCCGGGGCTTCGGAGGGGCCCCCGCCGCTGCCCGTCCTCGACGAGGGCATGTCGTTCGACGAGCGAGCGCGTCTCGCGCCGTTCCGCGGCGCGCTCTTTCGGTGCCTCACCGGACAGGGCCAGAGCCCACTGGCGCGGCATGTGGCCGCGCTTCCTCACGAGGGGGGATCGGGGGCGCGGCAGCCGTCGACTCCCTTGGCCGATAGCCGAGCTCGGGGGGAGCGCCACAGGTCCCGTGACGGGGACGGCCGAGGGCCGCTTGCCCCGCCGTCGCCTGCCGACGCCGTCGCACGGCGTGCGGGGCCTCCCAGGCACTACGTCGTCGCCCGCAGGGTGCCTCGGGCAGCGGCGGCGCCGCGTGCAGCATCCACACCACCTGCGGGGTATGAAGGCTCGGGGGCGCGTCCTCCGGCAGGCCTCCCCCGCTCGGCGAGCGCCACGGCCGCCGCCGTGCAACGTGTTTCGCGTGCGCCCCTTCCCGCGCGCGCCGCCCGTGCTCCTTTCGCCTCGATGGCGCAGCTGGTTCGAGCAGACGCTCGATCGGACTTTGTCGCCGCCGACCGCCGCCGACCGCTCAGCGCCCTGGCCGCCGCCGCCCCCGCCGCCGCTGCTGGCGTGGAGGTTGCTAGGGCTCGGCCTGCTGCTCGCAGACGGCGCCGCGCGGAGCGGACCGCCAGCGCCGCCCCGCGAGATGACCTCGCCGCTGCTGCCGGAGGCTCCGCTGGGGACGTTGGCCCTGGCACGGTCAGTCGCGTCGCGCGATTGCCGGTCGATCGGGGTGCCTACCTCACCCCTGCGATCGCGGAGCGCCGCTCCCGGTCGCTCCATGCATTCGAGCTCTGGCTCGAGGAGCTTACGGGTGTGTTCCCCGACGCTCTCTACCGCAGCGGGATCCTCTTGGCCAGATTCCTTGCCACTTTCGGGGTTTGGCTTTATGACGCGGGCCTTCCGCATTATATTTTCGTCCATGCCGTTCTTGGCATTCAGGCCCAACGCCCTCATTGGAAGGTGTTTCTTTCTCCGGCCTGGGACGTTGCCAAACGGTGGAAGCGGGCCGAGCCACAGCGGCTCCGCCCTCCACTCCCACGTGCTCTGCTGCGAGCGATGGTGGGCCTTTGTCTGGCCTGGGACTGGCCCGAGATGGCAGCGCTGCTGTTGGCAGGGTTTACTATGTCCCTGCACTTCGGAGAGGTCTTGAACGCATGGCGATGCCGCCTGTCATTGCCATGTGACCGCCTTGAGGCTGAAGGTGGCGCCTTTTTGGTGATCCAAGTTCCGACAACTCGTTGGTCGCACTCGTGGCATCCGCCCCGACTCACCGAGCGCGTTTACCAGCGCGCTCGCAGCTCGGATCGAGCGACGGCCAGAATAATGGAACTGGTTTTTCGCAATTTGGGGCCCACCGATCTGCTATCGACCTTCGGTCCAAGCGGCTTCCGTACTCGGTGGAACTCTCTCCTGGTTGCGCTTGGCGTGCCATTGCACAAGGCCCCATGCAGGGTTTCACTTTACCCCTGCTTGCCTTCGAGGCTCATCAGAAGCTACGGGTTTTCATATTGCTACCGAAGACGTCCCGTGTGTCTTCTGGCACAGTCGTTGGCGCCAGATGTCCTGTGCCGAGCGATATATTCTGGCTAATGGTGCCTCCACTGTCCTTGCCACCCTCCCCGACGCCGCGAGGGCTCGGGTCGAGTACTTTGCCTGTGCTAGCGACTTCCTTGTCGCCTCTTTTCTCGCACATGGCCCTGCTGTGTGGCCTCTGCGTCTTGCAACCGCCCGCCAATCTCTTGTCACTTCGCAAGGGCTTTGAGCATGGGTATGGCTGCTACGCCCCCCTGGGCGTCCAGGAGCCGCCGTCGAACGACGCCTCCTGAGTGCGCCGCACGGGGCCCCCGCGCGTCGGTCCGCTCTGCCTTCGCGGTGCGTCGCGCGCGCCCCGCGCGCCGCCTCCGAGACGACTGCTCCTCTGCGTAGCGTGCGGGGGTGCTCTCTCATATCCCCGCCGCGCCCGCAGTGCGCAGTCGGTCTGCAGCTTCTCGGCCCCCTCCCTCTCCGCCCTCCTTCTTCAAAGGCTAGCCTGCGGCGCTGCTACGCCCCCCTGGGCGTCCAGGAGCCGCCGTCGAACGACGCCTCCTGAGTGCGCCGCACGGGCCCCCCGCGCGTCGGTCCGCTCTGCCTTCGCGGTCCGTCGCGCGCGCCCCGCGCGCCGCCTCCGAGACGACTGCTCCTCTGCGTAGCGTGCGGGGATGATGATGATGATGATGATGATGATGATGATGATGATGATGGTTAATGTCTCTTTCCCCCCTTTCCCTGAGTTTCTAAAACCAACTAGAACGTGTGTTTGTGTTTGTGTGTGTGTGTGTGTGTGTGTGTGTGTGTGTGTGTGTGTGTGTGCGTGCGACACTTCGCGCGAACCGCATTGTATGAATCAGGGTATCTGCGGTTCAAGTGTGTCTTTTAGCTGGCTAGTCTTTCGCGGCGGCAAGATGGGAATTACGGCTTACGATTCGGAGGCTTACCGCGGCAAGCTGATCCGAAACCAACAATACAAAGTGAAGGCGAAGCAGGACAGCGGAATGAATCACACCAATGTCTTCTGTCGGTGGGGGTAGCTTGTTTACTGGGGAAGGGGGGCCGCGATCGGAACACCCACAGGATAAGCACGCCAAACATTGATTGACACAAGTATAGAGACTGTCAGGACCAAGTTAGACGAAAAGAACCGGAAGTACAACAAGATGATGTGCGAATTGCAGGCGGCAAATTCAGTAATCGAAGTTTTTGGAGGCGTCCGAGCGTAAAAAAGAGTCGCGTCGCCAGCTTGGAAGAGCAGGTCCAGAAAACAGTTGATGATTTGAAAGTCTGCGGCGAGTCCAAACTGCACGTGGCAGCGCCGCGGAATAAGTACAGGAGGCGACATGACAAAATGGGCTTTCTTCTGGGGGTCTGCTGGGTGCCCCACACGCAATGTAGCAACAGTGCGCGCCTTGGCATGGCAAGCGGCATTGCGCGGACGCCCGCTGCAACAGGAGGAGCTTCAACGCAGTCAAAAAGGACATCAAACACCTCATGCTGGAATTGGATACAAACGAGGATCGGCACAAAAAGTTTGCCAACAGGCACGATCGTTTCATGCAGACTTTCGCCGATCGTGTTTCGCTTGGCTTTTACAAGAAGATTTCTCAGTTGGAGCAAAAGTCTCCGCCGCGGAAGCCATGGTGTGTCGGCGTGTGTTAGGTTGCGCTGCGTTCTCAGGAATCGAAGCGCCTCGATGACAAAATGGTTTGCCGATGCTCGCAGTGTTTCCCAGAGAGGGTTGTTCGGCCGTTGCATGTTGTATGTTTGTGGGTTTGCAGATGCGCAAAACATGTTTGTAAACGCACGGGTGGCTTCAATTCCCGTCGCGCTGTTGCGTGATATGCCGCTTTTGGGTAGATCTGTGGGCTTTTCGGGGACCAGTTCCCAATAAGGTCGTTGTGCCATAGGTTTCTGGTCTGTGTGCGGGTTCAGTGTCGCATTTTTCTTAGTGCGGCTCGTTTACGAAGGTTCTCTTCGTAAGGATTGTTTTTATGGAGATTCTCGGATTCATGTTTTCTGATGCATATCCTTTCATTGTTGATTTGTTTTACTAAGGTTCTCTCACTAATGATGATTTTTTAATGTTCTTCCAGGGAGGATTCTTCATTAAGGTTCTCGTAGTGTTGATTATGTATCAAATTTCTCTTAGTGAGGACTCCTACGGAGGTTCTCTTAGTGAGGACTCTAGCCTTATATTCCCGAAGTAAGGTTTTGTTGTATTCAGGTTCTCACAGTGAGGACTCTTGAGTAATATTCCCGCAGTGAGGTTTGTTTACTGAGGTCCTCTTAGGGAGGACTCTTGAGTAAGAGTTCCGTACGAATGATTCTTCATTGAGGCTCTCGTAGTAAGGATTCCGGGGTAATGCTCCCATCGTGCGCATTATTATGGAGGCTCTTTGTGTAAGGACCATGGAGTGCTATTCCCGTAGTGCGATCTTCGAGTAAGAGTCCCTGAAACAGGATTCCTCATGAAGGCGTCCAGATTCTTCTTTTTGGTTTTCGTAGTACGAACTCTTGGGCGAGACTCCCATAGTAAGGATTCTGTATTAGGGCTTTCTGAGTAAGGGCTCCAGAGTAAGATTGCCGTAGCGAGGCTTCTTGATTGAATTTCATAAGTATGGGATCCCGTAGTAAGGATCATTCATTCAGGTTTTCTTTGGAAAGACTTTAGAGTAAGAGTCCCGTAGTAAGGATTCTTCATTCATATATTCCTAGTATGCACTCATATAAGACTCCGATCGTCAGGATTCATCATTCGGGTTTTGTGAGTAGGGCTCTGGAGTAACATTCCCGCCGTAGGGTTTCTTTATTGAGGTTCTCCTAGTGAGGACTCTTGAGTAAGAGTCCCGTAGGAAGGTTTTTCCTTTTCTCAGTATTCTCTTCGTAAGGACTGTTGGGTAAGACTCCCTTTGCAAGGACTCTTCATTCATATTATTTTAGTAAGAACTCTTGAGTAAAAATTCCAATCGCAAGGGTTCTCCATTGAGGTTTTCTAAGTAAGAAATCGTGAGTCATATTCCCATCGTGAAGATCCTATATTCAGGTTCTCTTAGTAAGAAGTCTTTGGCGAATACTTCCATCGTGACGATTATTCATTCAAGTTCTCTGAGTAAAGACTCTTGAGTAATATTCCGTTCGGTTTTTTCTCGAGATTCTCTTCGTAAAGACTCTTGAGTAATAGCCCCGTAGCAGTGCTTCTTTAGTAAGGTGTTGCTAGTAAGGACTCTTTGAGTAATAGTCCAATAGTAGGGATTTTTTTCACTGAGGTCATTTCAGTAAAGACTCTTGAGTTTTTTTCCCATGATAAGAACTCCTTAGGCAGCTTCCCTTAGTCTGGACTCATGAGTTATATTCCCGCAGTGCAGCTTATCTGCTAAGGTGCTCTGAGTAAGGGCTCGTGAGTAAGAGTCCCGCAGTAAAAGTTCGTCATTCATATGCTTGTTAGTAAGGTTCTCTGAGGGAGGCCTCTTGAGTAACATTCCCGCAGTGAGGCTTCTTTATTCAGGTTCTGTTTCGTCAGCATTATTGAGCCACGATTTCTTAATGAGGATTGTGGGCTGATGTTTCCTAGCAAGGATTACGTAGGAAGGGTGTCTCGTACATGGATTCCTGACACGGATTGTCTTTGTCAGGGTTCTTGAGTACAAGGGGTTCTTTAGTAGGGTATCCTCCTTCTGGGCTTAGTAGATGCCGAACTTGCGTGGGGGCGACATGGCCTGGGAACTTTCGGCGTTGTTGGCACCTTAGCCTCGTCGATGGGATCTGGCAATCGAATCCACTCCCATCGGAGGCAGGCCTGGGAACCCGTGCGATGCGATGCGGTGCTCCCCCCCCCCGTTCCCCAGAGGGGGCTTCAGAAACCCGGCGTACCTCCTGTGGGGAGCGCCGAGGAAATTCGGCCCATTGGAAGGGGCTCAGAAAACCGGCGTTACCTTGTTGTTGTCGTTGTTGTTGTTGTTGTTGTTGTTGTTGTTGTTGTTGTTGTTGTCGTTGTCGTTGTCGTTGTTGTTGTTGTTGTTGTTGTTGTTGTTGTTGTTGTTGTTGTTGTTGTTGTTGTTGTTGTTGTTGTTGTTGTTGTTGTTGTTGTTGTGGTTGTTGATTTTGAATGTTCATTATTCAACAACGACTATTGTTGGACCCCCCAGGCGCCCTGGCGCTCTAGCCTCGGCGCTGGTTACATCTTCATCGAAAATGAGG